AGTTAGTGTTTTTTTTCAACTTTATTAAACAATTATTTCCATACATCACAAAAAGGCACAGTGTTCATTACATGAATTCAAAAGAGGGCATTATGAAAAGAAAACAGCGAAGTTGTCATTCAGGAATTAAGGTGTTTAAAAATGTGTAAAACTGATGTGTTTTTTTCATGTTTGCAAAATGTAATACATGTTTATTCAAGGCGGAAAAGAAAGGCGGAATTGTATAATATATGTTAAAAACCGGAATGTTTTGCTCGTTATAAGTTAGTCAACATTACATTACGTGTTACTTGATAGACGCTTTCATCCAAAGTGACTTACATACTCAATACTGTGGACAATCCCCACAGGAGCAATTTGGGGTGAAGTGGGACACAACGACATGCTGACTGTAGTGGGGTTTGAACCTGTGCTCCCCTGATCCGAACACGCTTTCTAGTTAGAGCGGAGCACGACTCCTGACTTTTCCTTGTGTTTTTATTTTAATTTTGTTTTTTATATATATCTGTTGTAACTTATTGTCGTTTATTGTGATTGTAGTAATGTGTTTTTATTACATGTACAGCACTTTGGCTCGACCAAAAATCGCTTTTAAATGTGCTATATAAATAAAACCTGATTTGATTTGATTTGACCTGAAGGTCATTACCAATCTTGTTAATGCATTATTTCAGGATGACCATACCGTACTTTCATACTTCACTTTGACCTCACAGACACACACACACAGAGACACAGAGACACACACACAGAGACACAGACACAGAGACACAGACACAGACACACACACACACACACACACACACACACACACACACACACACACACACACACACACACACACACACACACACACACACACACACACACACACACACACACACACACACACACACACACACACACACACACAGAGACACAGACACACAGACACAGAGACACAGACACACACACACACACACACACACACACACACACACACACCACACACACACACACACACACACACACACACACACACACACACACACACACACACACACACACACACACACACACACACACACACACACACACACACACAGAGAGAGAGGGAGGAGAGGTGTGTGCTGGTCGTGCACAGGCCTAAAAGATTGTTGTGAGAGCACCAGGTCATGTTGAATAATTCATATTTAAATATCCCTGCCCTGAGGTTCAAACATAGCAGAATATTTGAGTGGCAAGGTTCGTAATTCTCACATTCTGACCAGTCCAACAGGATCAGTCTCATTCACACATAGCAGAAAGACAGGCATTCATGACCTCAAGCTGTCTTTGGCTCTAATGTATTCTGATTCAGGAGGGGACTTTGACAGAGGATTACTCACAAAGTACACAGTAAAAGTATTTCATAGTATGTGTGATAGTTGTCTAATTCCAACTGATTCCAACTATATCAGTCTTATGAGGAACTTATGGCAAAAAATATGTTTTATTCCTCATCAAAGAGAGGTAGCTTGTTGTTGTACTCAAAGGGGGACTTACTCACAAAGGACACAGTAAAAGTACTTCAATGTATTTTTGGAAGTAGTCTAACCGGTCCAACAGTATCAGTCTCATTAAGAATGGATGGCAAATACTCATTGTATCCCTCTTCATAGATAATAGTAAAACACTTGTTCTTGTACTCAGGATGGGATTTGACAGAGGATTACTCAGAAAGTGTACAGTAAAATTATTTTATAGTATGTGCTAGTAGTCTAACTCTAACTAGTACTGAGTCAAAACATATCAGTCTTCCTAAGAATTTATGGTTAAAAGCTTTTTTATCGCTTATCACATATAGCAGAGAGACAGGCATATTTGTTCTCAGGAGGGGACTTTGACAGAGGAGTACTCAAAAAGTACAACTATATCAGTCTTATGGCAACTACATTTCATTTAGCTGACGCTTTTATCCAAAGCGACTTCCAATAAGTGCATTCGACCAAGAAGATACAAACTTGAAGAAAACAGAATCATATCAGTACATCAGGTTTCATAGAGCCAAAACATTTCAAGTGCTACTCAACTTGCTTTAGATAAGCCAGTCCTTTGTTAGTATATACGTGCTTTGTTAGTAATTCTCTCGCTCCAAGTGGAGTCGAAAGAGATGAGTTTTCAGTCTGCGCCGTATGTGTAAGCTATCTGCTGTCCTGATGTCAATGGGGAGCTCATTCCACCATTTTGGAGCCAGGATAGCAAACCAACGTGTTTTTGCTGATGGAACTTGGGTCCCCCTCGCAGTGCGGGTGCAGCGAGCCGTTTGGCCGATGCAGAGCGGAGTGCACGTGCTGGGGTGTGTGGTTTAACCATGTCCTGGATGTAGGAAGTGCCAGATCCATTACTGGAAGCCAGTGCAGGGAGCGGAGGAGCGGTTTGGTGTGGGAACATTTAGGAAGGTTGAAGACCAGACGAGCCGCTGCATTCTGGATGAGCTGCAGAGGTCGGATGGCACATGCAGGTAGACCAGCCAGGAGGGAGTTGCAGTGGTCTAAGGCCCAGACACACAAGGCCGAAGCGAAGAATTAGGAGAAACCGCACTAAATGGGTGAAATCATGGAAACTACAGCGAGAAGCTCATGGGGCTTTCCCGAACCTGTGTCGAGAGCTGGAGTTAAATGAAATGCCAGATTTCAGAAATGTTGCTACGGCAAGCCACCCTGCCACCCACCACCAATAAGCCAGCTCGAGCCAAGCATCACAGGGATGAACTATGCCAATATTTTAACAGTATCGGTGCAGTGCCTTTTCAGTGGGATAAGATATAGCACCATCTTTTTCTCTCATGGTGGTTTGGCTCATAAAGGGGTTGTGTTGTGATATTTTTCTCAAGCTTTGGTAAAGTGTATTCTTTGAATGCAGATTTGGGTTCTGCCCGCTCTGTATTAATGTCATGTGGATTTTCCTGTCATGTTGACAGGTCATCATCATGTAGGCGTTGATAAAAGCTCATTCTAATGTTGTGTTATGTGTGTATGAAGGTACGAAATAAAGTTTTGCATTGCCTATCCTGCTATTTGTGTTTATTCTTTTAATCAAACAGCGATAAGAAACAATAACAATGTGCCTACATAACTGTCAGTTGCAGCCCTAGCATTAGTATTGGTTATAGTAACAGCTACAACATTAAAATACTTCTAGGCAGATTGAGGAGGATAATGGGAGAATGAACAGAGGGGCAGAAACATCCATCTGAATAATAATAATAACTTTATTTGTATAGCACCTTTCATACACAGATTCATATTGCAGTTCAAAGTGCTTTACATCAGTAACAAATAAGACATCAAATCAGTGTAAAACAAGCAGCAAGAGCAAAGCATAAAGTGGGATAAAATAATGCAGATATATTATATATATATATTGTAATCCCAACAGGCCACCTTGTTTATGGTTTGATTCAGTTTTAGTAGAATATAAAATACATGAATGATGAAATGAGCACATAAAGTGCAGACATACTATAAAATCACAGTTAAAAGACCTGCATCTGATGATCGCAGTGTTCTGGCGGGTGTGTCGTTTATTAGAGTCAGCAATGTAGTAATGTATGTAATGTCATAATGGCCACTTCTTGCTAAATTTCCATTTCCATGTGATGCTTTTATCCGAGGCGACTCACAATAGGTAAATGAACAGCGGTAGACAGTATCTCATGTACTTAGACACTGTACTTAAGGACACTGTTGAAGTACTTGAGACTAATCCTGCAACTTTATACTTCTGCTCCACAACAGTTCGAGAATGAAGAAACCATCTTGTATGAAAGGCTACATGTGAATAGAGGGGCAGAAAACCGTCTTGCACATTTACATTTCAATCTTGAACAAAGAACAGCGGTAGACAGTACTTAAGGACAATGTTGAAGTACTTGAGACTAATCCTGCAACTTTATACTTCTGCCGGTGTGGTGCAGATGGTGGATTCTGCCAGGGGGGTGCAGGGCTCAGCATCAGAGTGGAAGGACTCCTCAGTGGTGCTGGTCAAGGTTTCACTGCTGGTGCCACTGCTGGTGCCACCGGGGGGTGATTCTGCAGCCACCAGACGTTCCTTAAAAAATGTTAACTAAATTCACAGTTAGTTGGATTTAATACCATGGCTTCTTAAAACTGTTTACTAAGCATTCATAACAAAACAATACCCTGAAATGTGTGTGCCATTAGTTTGGGGTGTGGTCAAGTGTGAGAGGCACATTGTAGACACATTGTGATGGCTCTATTCAGATGCTAAAACATACTTCTAGAAGATTCAGAACACTACAAAATATAATCAAGACATATTTTATCATGTATTATTATAGGTTAAAGGTAGGGTAGGTAAGTTTGAGAAACCGGCTCGAGATACACTTTTTGTTATATTCCATGGAATGCTCTTAACAATGAATATCTTAAATGCTTTGACAAAAAATCCATAAAAAAATGTCATCTGTGGAAGCCGTAATACTGTAAAAAGCACGACCAATCATTTTAGCCGGCCCTGTGCAGCTAAAAGTTTTGCAAGCCCCCCGTTCGTTTCGTATCTAAAATAATAGACATCGCTTTTTCCAGCTGACAAACCCGACTTTCTGGTCACTTCTTCCATTTTCCAGCCCTTGGGGAGAGACACGGGAGATTCATGTGATTGGTTGTTGGTCGCGTTGCTCACTCCCCAATCTCAAGACACGCCCACCGCCAACGCACGCCGCCATGTGTAGTACTGTTGGAAGCTCTGGTTCAGTTCACAATCGATCCAGTCATGCCAAAGCCAAGGACCTGTTTCCTGAAATGTGAGGGGAAATCTGAGCTGTTTCTCCTACCGACGCAAGAACCACGACGAAGTCAGTGGTTGACATTTCTGTTTAACAATGTTCCTTCAGAGGTTCGAAGAACGTTTCTGTGTGCGCGGCACTTCACAGACGAAAGCTTCAAAAACATTACCCAGTTTGAGGCCGGATATGCACAGCTTTTGAAAATGAAGGACGATGCTATTCCTAGTTTGTTTGGACGGTTTGGACCACGGGAAAATTCGGGTACACAACCTGTAAGTTTGCATTGTTATTTGTGTATTTATCAAACAAGGTATCTACCACGACTGTTTAAATGTGTAAACGTGCTACCGAGCTAAACAACAAGGCTACTAAGAGCTAGACATGAGTTTGCTCGGGAAAACATTGTATACTACCGTATAAGATTCCAATTGTAAACATGTTCGTGATAGCCTAATATATGAACCACTATCTGTTGTTCATAGTATAGTATAGCATATTACACTGAACAACTAGCAAACGTAGGTTAGCATTGTAATCCAGCTGGCAAGCTGACGAACATAAAACAACTAAGTTTCAATAATATTTTGTGATTTACACTTCATTTCGTTAGGAATGTCTCCCAGAAAGTGTTGCTTTTAGGAAATTGACTGTTTTCATCGGATACAAAATTAATTTTATGAATGTTATGTGTATCTTTCTTAGAGTACATCAAAGCAGGACCCCGGTAAGAGTACATCAAAGCAGGACCCCGGTAACCACCGCTCCAGTACAGTCGGATGCCAAACAGACCGTACACAGACTGTTTCTGTGGGAACTCAACAGAGGGCTGAGACACGGTCTGTGGGAACTCTACAGAGGACTGAGGCACAGCCTGTGGGAACACAGACAGTGCAATTGAAAGTGTCAGTTGCTACACAGTTGTCCCGGGGAACACTGAAGTCGGCACACGTGAGGAGCAAAGGTAGACCATAACACTGACATTGACTGTTTTTTTCATTTGAGATACATTACCTTAATTGTGCTTTTATTACATGTACAGCACTTTGGCTCGACCAAAAATCGTTTTTAAATGTGCTCTATAAATAAAACTTTATTTGATATTATTGTAGGCCTATCCCTCCCTGTTTTTTTAAATCACAGAAATACTGTTATGTGGACTACAGAAAATACAGTGTTGTTTGTAGTTTCTTCTAAATATTTCATGAATTAATCTGTCAGATGTACACAAAGTTGTTGGCCTTTTACAATGTATTAGTGTATTATATAATGTACAAAGTATTTATGCACTTTTCCCTTTTTATTAACAGGCATCCAGGCCACAGTGTCTTTACAAAATGTTGGCACTTCCACCGACCCAGAATTCCCCTTAGCCTCTACACCAATAAAGGGCTCAGGATTGGGACCTAGCAAAAGACCTCGACTGGAGTTGGAGGAGGAACAAGGAGAGACTTCGACTTACCACCCTGATGATACTGTAGAAGAATCTGACGTATCGTAAGTTTGGTATATTTGGTACACATTACTATTACTGTTTTTCAGAGTTGAAATCTAACATGTATTGTTAATTTTGTTTTGTTACATTAGACTTCAGACACGATCCACGCACAGTGACGCAAACTACATTGTTTTTGAAAGCTGCCTCGGACAGCTGTTTGAAAAATGTCCGGTGTGTAACACAGACTGTGATGTCCAAAACCGAAAAATTGGGACTTCTGTGGCGTTCACACAGCGTTGTCCAAACTGCAGTTACTTCAGACAATGGGAGAGCCAGCCCATCATCGGAAGTACCCCGGTTGGCAACTTACAATAATACATACTTCACTGGGGCTTCCTTCTTCCAACCACAAAAGGTATTTTACCATCTAACATCCATAGCATATGAAAATTGACAGCAGTGGACTTTTTCAAAAACGTTTCCTGTTTTTCTATTTATTCATAGATATGCAGAGCCATGCAACTGGAGATCTTCCAGTATGAGACCTTCAGGAGGCATGCTAGGAATTACCTGGAGCCTGCTATTATCCACAAGTGGAAGACTGATCAGCTGCATTGTTGCCAGCAACTACAACACCAGGGGGGAAAGGTCACAGTTGGAGGAGATATGAGAGCAGACTCTCCAGGTAAGCAGAAACAGACAAGACAGTTTATGGCGCGTTTCCACTACACGGCCCCGCTCGGTATGGCTGGGCCTCGTTAGGACTGGCTCACTTTATGGCGCATTTCCATTACAGTTTAGGAACTGGGGTAGTATCTATAGTAACGCAGTGTAGGCGGAGCCGTGACGTGATCTTCAGAGAACCACAGGAAAAACAACACAGCCGTTAGCTGTTAGCACTCAGAGCTCACAGCTCCTCATATCTGTTCAGAAACTAGACAAAAGTTAAACAAGTACAAACCACAGACTGCCTGTGTCATGGTGAATACAGTCGCTGCTTTATTTATGTCTGTATAGGCCGTTGTGAGTGTGGACGGTCGGAGCATATACTGCGTTAGCTTAGCCAATCTCCATTTAGAAAACACGCATTTTAAAAGGTTTTTCGCCTGCCGTCTGTCTGCAGACTTGCCAAAGCATTAATTCATGGTTTTTACTAACCGGTATCAGTATGTTGTTACTTCGGCATCATTTTGAAACGTGTATTACAATTAAATCACGGTCAAATATGTCCATCTTGTTGTAGTTGTACCCCCCTTGCCAGCGATTCTCTCTCTAGTTTAGCATACTCAGCCCGACTCAGCCTCGTTGTCTCTGGCCCTAGACCCACGATTTTATGTGGCCAGAAAAACTGTGAATTCGGACCCGCCGGCCGGTACTAGGCCAAGTGGAAACGCAACCAAAGACGGGCCGCTGACGTCACAGCCCTCTTAAACCGTGCTCCGCGCTGTAGTGGAAACGCGCCATAAGTGCCAGAGTTACTGGTGTATATTACAATTAATCTAACTTATCCATTGAAATTCTGTTGAAAAGCCTTGAAACCTCCTGTATTATATTTTCTTCAGGGCACTCAGCCAAGTTCGGGAGCTACACACTCATGCACCTGGGAAGCAATACCATTGTGGACTTCCAGCTTGTTCAGGTGTGATTCTCTTTCTGGGTGTTATCATTTTAGGCTTGCTGGCTGTTGATGCATGTTTCAGTGTATTTATGCCCTATTTCTTATTCACCAACAGAGCAATGAAGTAGGTGGTAGTTACCACATGGAAAAGGAGGGACTCAAAAGACGCCTAGATCATCTGGAGTCAAACGATTTGGCGGTTGAGTACATTGTGACAGATCCAGAAGTTTCTGAGGGAACGCAACATAGAACAATTCTATGATGTGTGGCACTTTGAAAAAGGTATTTATCCCTATATGTTGTAATGGAAGAATACCAAATCAGAGACACTGTCCTTTGTTAAGATATTCCTTTGTTTTACTATGCAATTTATCCTGAGCTTCTAATCAGCAGCAGACATGACATAATGCCTGGATACATTAATGATATCCCCTACAATTTGGCCCTCTAATCTGCTCTTTACTCTGTTATTGTAAACTGTCTGCCAGACCACTTGATCACAGCACCTTTTGTCATTGTAAATTAAATTTCACTCACAAATCTTAGGTGTGTGTGTGTGTGTCTCTGTGTGTCTCTGTGTGTCTCTGTGTGTCTCTGTGTTAAGGTAAGGAGAAGAAGTTTCATACAAAAAAAATACTTGAAAGTATTTTTCGTAGATTTTCAAACTTTCAAACGGGTCAATTTGACCCTGAATGTAACAGGAGGGTTAAAATGGGAATGTACAGTGATGTGTATATGAATATGTATGGTGGTTTCCTGGCTATGAAATGTTTTCAGGCAGAAGGGTGTCGCACTGACCATTGTCAGGCAATTATCATATGTATGTTATGGTTGATGATATTAAGTGTGGAATGTCCACCACACCCTTGAATCTTGAATGTGGTCTATCACAGCACTTCATTTCCACACTATGGCTTGAATATTCACTTGTGCATGTGCTTTTTTTTTTATCAGGTTTGTCCAAGAAACTTTCACAGAACAAGGACTGCAAGGTGTTGAAGAGGTGGCCGCACAGCATAAAAAACCATGTATACTGGAGTGCGACGAGCACAACCTCGGGGACGGAGAAGGTGGCACTCAGTGGTCAACCACCTACAAAACATTCACGTGCATGATGACCCCCTATTCCCCAAGTGTTCACATCCTGAAAGAGCCTCAAGCGATGCAAATAAATGGCTAAAACCTGGTAAGTTCAATATGTATAAAACAATTGGAAATAACAAGTGAAAAATTTAAAAACACTTCCCTTCCTTCATAAGATCAACAATATTGAATGTAAATATAACATTGTTGTTTTGGCAAATTATTGTTGTAATGTTCTAATGGGCTGGTGATTTACCTAATGTTTTTGTAATTTTACTCAAGGGTCAATAACAAAGACACACTCAAAGATGTGCAAAAGCTAAGCCATCACTACCAGACCTCATCCCTGGAGTCCTTCCACAGCTTGATTCTGCGTTTTGCCCCCAAAAATGTGGTTTTCCCCTTCATGGGAATGTTGTGCAAAGAACGACCCTACATACAGTAAGTTGTGAAATATATATTTTTTTTTTTACTAACATAACTTACATTTTAAATGATTATAGCCACACTGAATTATATGTACAATGAAAGTGTTACATGAAATAAAATAAGTGAATTAAAATAATAAATTATTATATGAATGCTATATTTTTCAGTGTACGTGGTGATGAGGCTTGTGTTTGAGGAAGTCTTTGAGGACCCAACACCCTTTGTGGATGAGATGAATACAATCCCCATCCCAAAGGACCTGTCAACTCAATTTGACAGGCCCTCGATCAGCAAACTCCTGGCGGGATGACCACTCTGATGCCTCGTCCTAAAAAGCCCCAGCACCAGCTTACAAAGCTGCGATAGGCAAGATGCCGAAAACGCCTATAAGGGGAGGAATGGATGATATACAGTATATATATGTATATTTACACATGTTCATTTTGTACATATCTAAAAATAAAGTTTGATGGAAATACTTAGTAGCCTTTCTTCCCTGAATTATTTGCTCCTATAACATATCATTCATATATAGCAAACCATGATTTGATTTTTCATCAAACACAGTAGTAGTTTATTATTACAGGTAAGAATAAATTACTCTTCTTCCGTTCTACGCCTCAAAGGTCCATAATCAAATCTGTAAATATTAAGGAGGTTCTGCAGGGTGTATGGGTTGAGACAGTTTGGCTCTAGTCCTGGGTGGTGTACCATGCACATAATAGGTGCTGGGACTTGGTTCATTCGTGTTACAACCTATAGGAAGGTAAGATATTTGTTACATAACACGTTTAGCAATTAAACCAACTATGGCAAGGTTTACAAAATAAACATTCAATTACTAGGGAAGAAATAAAAGGGCATATAATAGTCTATTGACTTGACAAATATGTATGGTGTATATCTTGGCATATAATGTGTGCTACTGTTGGTGTTTTCAGCTAGCTAGCAATGTTGTAACTGTCAGCTAACCAAGTGTGATGTGACACACTGATATATGCAAAGAAAAATAAAGACATATCTTTTGGAATTGGTCATCGAAACCGAAATTCAAAGTTCCACTACAGCAGGAACATTAGTGCCACACGTTAGTCACCCAAACAGCAATACAAAAAATGTACCCACCACTTCGGTTACAATCTAAAGTCATTTCTTAAGAACCCTGCCGCAATGAAATTAAGCAGACTAGATCTTGTTTGTGGTACTTTATTCAATACCAATATATATTTTCTAAAATGTCAGTGCTATGATGGAGGCAACATTTATGCACATGTTTTTTTTGTAAGTACTATAATATTGTATAATTTAAAGTAAAAATATCACCACTATCCAAAGAGTGACAGATATGAAAATAATGCTCCTAAGAGGCGAGCGATACTAAATAAAAACTTTCCACTGTGAAACCGTCTGCTCTAGTATAGTTTGGGACGGTGGATCAGGTCTATCACGTTGGTCTGTCTCACTTTCAGGATCGGACTCCGGTTCAAACATATACGGCTGTACCGACGCCATTGTAAAACTGATGTTCCGCTCAGAGCCGAAAAAAGCACTGTGGTAGACATGGGCGGAGCCTCTCTGGTGGTTGACTAATCAGAACAGAGTGGCCGAGCTGACCAATCGGAGCACACTGGGGTCACAGGGAGGGGGGAGAGAGTGAATACACATACTTTACAGAGATGCTGTATGAGAAACCTATGTGAGTTTGGAAAATTGCACAATATAAATCTATATCAGTAGAAATGGCCAAGACATGGGCCCTTTAAATCATGTTATCATGTTATAGTAGGCCTACCTTACATGAACCTGTTTGAAACTTTAATGACCCCATGATGTGATTATTTATATCATAAAACCTTTAACAACTATATTTAGATGTTCATAAATATCTACATTTATGTATAAATACATGTGTAGCAGTTAGACAAACATAATTAATAGATGATCTCATTATTACCTATTTTATATGTACTAAAAAATAACAATAAAGTTTACTAAGCCCCCTTTTTGTTTTAATGTATTAATTAGACAAAATGATTTGTGCTTAAAGTCATATACTGTTGTGTCCCAAACGGATAGACTAGGTTATTAATTAATTTGCCTAATAGTTGCTTAAAATGCTACAATAACATTTGGCAATTCGTTTTTAATCTGCCATGTACGTGTCTCTCAGCCACTGTAGTGTCGTGCAGGGGGCGTGTCGTGTACTTGCTGCGGCTGCAGCTGGACAATATTATTGTATTTTTCCGAAATAAGGTCCCATGGAGGTCCCCCGGAAAGGGTGGGACTTCGCCTCTCTATACATGCAAAGATAATACATGTTTGAATCCTCATGTGATCTATGTCAAGATAAAAACAAAGATAACGGTAACAAACACTGCAACTTCATCGTGTCATGTAGCTAGGTAGGCTAGCTCCCTGTTAGCACATCAGCTGACACACCGTACTTAAGGCTAACAGTTAGTTAGCATATCCAGCTAGCTCCATTATCTGACAAGGTGGAAAACAGACAGAAGTGTAGAAGTACTCAAATCTTGTTCTTGAGTAAAAGTAGAAGTACTCATATCTTGTACTTGAGTAAAAGTAGAAGTACTCAGATCTTGTACTTGAGTAAAAGTAGAAGTACCAGAGTGTAGGAATACTCTGTTAAAGTAAAAGTCCTGCATTCAAAATGTTCCTCAAGTGAAAGTATAAAAGTATTATCATCAAAATATAGTTAAAGTAGCGACAGTAAAAGTAGTCATTGTGCAGATTGGTCCATTTCAGAATAATGTATATGATATGTTTTATAATGATTGATCATGAAAGTGTTCTCAAAGCTGGTAAAGGTGCAGCTAGTTTGAATGACTTTGTATACTGCAGGGTAGCTTGTGAATTTACTCCAGGTGGAACTAAAGTCTGATTTAACACTTGATTATATTTCACATCATTCATCCACATCTATGAAGTAACTAAAGGGATTAAATACATGTAGTGGAGGAAAAGTACACCATTTACACATGGTACAGACAAACTTCCACCATTGTTTGTGTCTGTGTATTGCACATCTTGTTTTATTTTGTAAGTGTTATTAATTCCTTCTTTAAACCTTCCCATCCTATAGTGTCTATAACTCACTCAAACTAACAGCATGTGTTCTGGCTGACAATGAACGTACAGAATGCTGCCCCCATAAATAAATACATTTCTGTTAATGTATCGTACGTTGACATTGTAGTACTCAGCATACATCAGATATTAAACTGGTTCTCACCTCCTGTCTCATTTCAGAATACAGGAATTCAAAGTAGCGTTGAGTGAAGAGAACATCAATCTGGAGACGCTGAGGGAGCTGTGCTTCAGCGGTAACTTTAACATCTTAATGTTTATTTATCTGAGTATTTCATTGTTCTGTATTTGACCATCCTTTTCTCTATTCAACCCAGGAATCCCGTTTGAAGGAGGCATACGAGCCCTTTGTTGGAAAGTAAATACACCGTTGTGCACCACATGCAATAATATGATTAACCTCTCGTTCTTTTAGCTGCTATTCAACTCTCTGTAGATTTGGGGACTAGCACCAGGGGCGGATCTAGTCAAATATTCATGTGGTGGCAAGAGGGTGGCAGGAGATTTTGAGGGGTGGCATCCCCTGGCAGAAGTATATGCTGATTTAATCACAGTCATATCAATCAATGTTAACTTGGAAAGCCACAATATTTATATTTTAACTCAAGTCAAAGTCAGCTTTATTGTCAATAATTCTACATGTTGTACATCCAGAAATATCGTTTCCCGCAGTCCTACAGTGTGACATATATACATCAAACAAAAAGGGCCTAGATAAACATGGTATACATTAAACAAAACAAAGGGCCTAGATAACCGGGGGATACAGTTTAAAATGTTAATAATATAATTTAAGTGTTCAAAGTACAGTTTCAATAACATAGGTGACATTATTGTGGCACATCAGTAAAGCCTTACATATAAATATATAAGGTGGCAAACATCATTTAATGAATTTGAACTGAATGAGTTTGTTTCACTCTTAGACCAGCAGGGGTACCAAATCTATGCAGACTGCTGCAATAAGTACAGTGTGAATGTGGAGCTAAAGCGAAGTCCAGACATTAACCAGTTCAAGAGGAAATACAGAGAAATTATTTTATCGAGGTACAGGGATGGGGAAGGTGTTTGACTATGTGTATATGTGTGAGTATGTAGGTGTGTATATGTATATGTGCATATATGTGTATGTATATATGTCAATCAACAGGTAAAGCAGAATAATAATAACAACAATAATGAATAATTATTATTATTGCAGATTAGATTATAAATAAATCATTTAGGGACAAGGGGGTGAGATTAAATATGTTATACTTCTTCTCACTCCTTTTCGAACACTAGATGTGGGACTGTTTATGTTGCTAATGCTGTTGTTGTAAATATCATTTTTTGTTTTGATTTCTCTTACATGACTATCCACTGCAACATTTGTTTTGTTTTGTAATTATTTATTTTACTTGTTCGAAATAAAATGAATCAATCAATCAAGTACATGAATTAACTGCCTCATCGATGTTTGTCTGAATGAATATGATACTATTAACAATCATATTATTCCTATCAGCTGTCAATCACTGTTATGATTCACATATTCATTTATTATTGAATAAAATATATTTTTTGGAGGAGTTAATGATGAATGTTCCTCAAGATGCTTGCTCACCCTCCTTCAAATTTGAAGTAATTACTATCATATATCAAAATGCTAAAGTTCAAAGGAACGACTTTATTGCAAAGTTACAACCTTGACTTGACATCAGAAAGAACAAACATTAAGGAAGTGACTAACTGCATCTGTTAGGGTTTGAAGTGTATTCAGCTAAAACATATACATCGCTTCAGTTATTATCCAGTGGAAAGCCCTTACCTACTGTCCTAGTTAAATCAAAGTGGTTACTTTTGTTTGGCTGGGCAGTGTAGTTTTACACACCGTCTTATTTGACTTTCTCAGGATGTTTTTTGGGGGCAGACCCCCACAAAGAAAAATAAATATATACACACATACAAGGTCAACATCTTAACAGTTGTTTATGCTCATCCGTGAGCAGAGCATCAAGTTGGCATGCCGATAACAGGATTTAGAAAAGCTTGTCCATGCTTTCATCTTCAGTAGCCTCGACTACTGCAATAGTGTCTTCACAGGGCTGACAAAAAAATCCATCAGAAAGCTGCTGCTCACTAACATGAAAAGAGTGGATCACATCAGTCCGGTTCTGAAATCTTTACACTGGCTTCCAGTCGATCAAAGAATTGATTTTAAAATACTATTGCTAGTTTTTATATCAGGGGGTCACAGGTTCAAACCCTACTGCAGTCAGCATGTCGTTGTGTCCCTGGGCAAGACACTTCACCCCAAATACCTCCTGTGGGGATTGTCCACAGTATTGAGTATGTGAAGTCGCTTTGGATAAAAGCGTCTAATAAGTGACATGTAATGTAATGTATATAAACGATCTCCTGCACAACTATGAACCATCAAGGATTCTCAGGTCCTCTGGGTCGGGTCTGCTCTCTGTTCCAAGAATAAGAACTAAACATGGAAAAGCAGCGTTTAGCTATTATGCCCCCACAATCTGGAACAAACTGCCTGAATCATGTCCGCTGAAACACTTCCTATTTTCAAAACCAGACTAAAAACATATCTATTTTCCGCTGCTTTTAATTGAACTGTTCATACACTGCAGTATGCCTTTTATTCATGTGTTCTGTACCTGCTGTGTTTTATTTATTTCATTATCTTTGCTTTTTATGCCTGTTTTTAAATGCCATTTAATGTGTTTTTGCTGTATTTATTCTTAAATGTCTTTTGGTTATTATTTTGTAAAGCACTTTGAATAGTCGCGTATTGAAAGGTGCTATATAAATAAAATGGCCTTGCCTATAACAGCTGAATGCGACGATTACCATGTTGTTCAGCAAAGCGCCTCACAAACTGAGTAAGATCCAAAGCTTTAGTGCGTTTTGATTCAATGCTGAGTACAGCCAACCTTGACAGTCTCTTGTCATTGTAGACCGCAAATACCTCATCCCTTCCTTCTACTTGGGTCCGGATCATAGGTCCGGATGCTTCTCGTAATGTGCCGTCCCGTTCAAATGAAATCGCCGCCAATCACATTTCCTCGCTCGCGCCAGGGCCGGGGGAGGGGTGACAAGATCGCGTCTTGTGCTGCATTCACTTGCACTCGGACATTAGAGATTTTCTCTCACAAATGCCACAACTTTTCTTTCAAAGCAAAGGGGGGAGGGGAGTTAATTCTAAACTGTTGAGTAAAACGTTTTACACGAACTATGGAGAAATGTCACCAACATTTGAATATATATAAATTATGAATAAATAAAATGCCTACATTTAGCAAGGAATTTTTCTGAGGCAGCTGCAACCCCGTAGAACCGCCACGGACTAGCACCGCCATTACACTACAAATTGTGCACTAAATAATTGAAAAGGTTGTAATGAAATTTACTGAAAGCATGTTCCTTAAACTCTAAAGATGTTAAAGTTGGGGTTTTCTATGAGATTTGCTCATAATTAGTCAGTTGGATTTATAATTCTTTACAGCTCGAACTGAGCTTCGTTATAACGCAGACTTAAGGTATTACTCAATGAAATGTTTTTATAGTCAAATCTCAGTTACACATTTGTCTGAGGGGGTTTTACATACAACCCCATCATTCAATTAAGAGTTAAAAATCCCCCCCCCAAAAGAAAACTCACTATTAAATTGTAAACCTTTATTATGATGATCACATACAGAGTCAGTGTGGACTTACTCTACACTGGGGCTTGACTGGGAACAGCAGAGTTGGTTATGATATCATTGCAAGATTTAGGAGGATTGTAGATTTCTTTAGACATACTGTAAATGTAAATTGGCAATTTTACCCTGCAACAAATATCTCAGGCAAAATACAACAACTAGTTACATGGTCTGGGTTAAAAAAAAAAATATTTCCATAAGACTGAAGGATTTGGCTAAATGGTTTCAGAGTGTGACTGTTCTATCTACCTCTCGATCAGACATTATGGGAGTTTTTTTTTCTCAAAAAGCAGAGGTAAGTAGAACATGTTGAAACTGGATCAAAGAGCATGTACGAGTTTATCTGGAGAGTCTTTTGTGTGTCCACTAGGCGACGATTTCATCTGCTTGCAATGGCTACCCGGATAACAATAAAAAAAAAAACACTCACCTATTTCAAGTGTGACTCACAAGGCCTGAGGCTGTTTATTATCAAAATCAAATCAAAGTCAAAGTATTATGGCGCTCTGTCACCGTGAATGGAGCTTGCTGGGAAAACACAACTTTTACTTAGTCCATATCAACACAATTATATTTATACCACTGTTTTTAAGCCAGCGGGAAGAATGCTTATTCGTATCCGCCATCGCGACTGCCTCTGTTGTCTCTGTAGCCGCCGCCGCCGCCACCTCCTCCCACCACCTCGTGAGTATCCGCCGCTGCCTCCGCCGCCGGATCTGTAGCCACCGCCGCTGCCGCCACCGGAACGACTGTCGGATCCGTAGCTTGATCTGTCTCCGCCATAGCTTCTTTCTCCTCCTCCGCCGCCGCCATAGCTTCTGTCTCCTCCTCCGCCGCCGCCATAGCTTCTATCTCCTCCGCCGCCGCCGCCATAGCTTCTATCTCCTCCACCGCCGCCATAGCTTCTCTCACCGCCATATCCGCCTCTTCCACGCCCGCCTCTTGATCCTCCGCCGCCCCTAGGACCACCGCCTTTTCCTGCCTCGTCGACGCGGATTGACCGGCCATCGAGGGAGGTTCCGTTCATGCCGTCCATTGCGTCTTTGGCATCCTCGGCGTTGTCGTACTTCACGAAGCCGAAACCGCGGGAATTCCCGGTCTCTCTGTCTCTGATCACGTCCACCTTCTCGATGGTTCCATACTTGGAGAAGGCCGCAGACAGAGATTCTTCGTTGGTGTCGAAGCTGAGGCCGCCGATGAAGAGTTTACCTTCGTCCGACATGTTGTTTAAGTCGTTTTGGGCTTTTCAGTAGTAGGAGACTATTGAATCTGAAGAGCAGACGCTGCAGGAGGAGGCACGGGTTCTGGTCGTACAAACGGCTTAGAAATGACCGCATGGAAGAGGCGCATGGATCTTTAAGGCCGCAGTGAGAGGCAATATCCGGTGACGGTACCACGTGGGTTCCGCCCAGTGTAAGCCCCGCCTCTTTCTGAGAAAAAGCCGCAATTAAATTATAATGTTAGATGGCACTGTTATGTTAAAGAGGTACGGGGAGGTTTTCATAGGACTTAAGGTGTTATTTATCTGTTTTTTATCCATTTAATGTTATTGTGAGGGCTTTAGAATGTGAACTATGAGTATTGTCTGATCCTCACTTGGCAACAGAAAGGTGGCGGTAATGCGCCATTAAGCTGGATGCAAACAGCCATACAACTCGAGAAAGAAGAAGAAGAAGCCCCGTGAGAAGTGAACGTGAACACGTGTTTATAACAGACTGTTTCCAACAATACTCACAAAATGAATCATATTTCACATGACACATATCTTCCATACACTGTGGCATTAACATGGCATTTTTTAGACGGATAAATCAGGGGAAATGGGTCTTTCTTCGAGACAAATGTGTCTTATCGACCAGCTCTCGCGAGATTTCATAACAAAGCCTTTACGTTCGTCAAACTGTGTTGACATTTTCAATCTAACGTTGCCCAACGTTTACAAAAACGCCCTTGCTTTCTGCCTTTTGTATTGTACACATGTTTGTTATCTTCCCTGATATATTAATTTAGTTATTTACAATATAAATACATTAGACTGAGCTCACAGGAGACAGGAAATTATCTTTGCTTGTCTTTCACGGGGCCATCAAGTGTTGAGATTAGGAACTGCATACACTTATATAAAGTATTTAAATATACATGAACATAACATCATATTTTATCATGATATTAACTCGAAACTGTTCAAATCATGGGCACTCATACACATTTAAAAAAAGGGGGAAAATACAGATAATAGGTGACATACATTCGAATAAAAATGATGCATAAACAGTTCATTTGTATTGCATTTTTATTCATTTAATTTCAAAGGTTTAATGTCACAACTACAGAATATGAACTACTCAATTCATCCAGAGTTATATTTTTAAATTGGTGCCATATTGCTGTAGTTCTTGGTTGAAGTGTCCGGTTTTATTTTGGAGTCTTTTCTTATGGATGGATTTTTTTTTATCACAAATACAAAAATGGTTTAATCTCCTAATTCACAGAAAATACAAGGATACTCCAATCTCTTCTAAGGTATTTGCTTTATTGTATATCATTTATGTTTATATATATATATTTAAATTCCAGCAACATCCAGCTTTTCCTACGTCAGTAGAATGAACCCATGGGCGTGTTGCCTTTAAGTGCTCACAGTAAAGTAGATGTTTACAGCACGGTCACTTCAGAAAATGACTGAATGACCTATTTATCACATACAATACTTTAAAATACAGCTTTTAATGGCAATAAAGCCGAAAAATGAGCTGTGCATCTCAAAATCTTGACTGGATGTGGTCTGGTTGATATCATCGATACTAATGTAACAATGAAGTGCAAATATCAGCATGTTTGGAAATATATGTTTCGAAGAATTAGTAAACTAACATATATTCCAGATTCAGCAACACTTATTGTTCACTCGGTTTCTGGAATGTTTACACAATACCACAGTTAATGGAAAATCGCGAATCTTGTTGTCTTTATCTTATTGTCTTGCGCTTGCAATTGAAATGTACGACATTTTGTTGGACTTGAAGGCATCATACTTAATGCACCAAACAACAGTCTTACATTGGGGAAAGAGACGTCTGTAAATCAGCGTATGATTTAGTTTAGACTTAATAAACTACCCAGCACTAACAATTGTATTGCCTGCATTTAAATCGTTAGGGGCTAAAAGTTGTAAAATGCGTTACAAACTGAATCCAGAGGTTTTTTTCTCTCTCCATTCACTGAACTGAGCAGAGAGCGGAAGATGGGAGGCGGGGCTTAAGGGAAAACTCCAATGCGCATGCCCAGTAAGCATGATCCGGGTACTTAATCCTACAGTTGCTCCATTTTGGGCTTCGAGAAAGCATTCGCCATTTGTTCTATGAATTTATGTATTGTAGAATCACGACCAATCGTTTAACCGTTTTTTTTTTTAGGTATTAGTAAAACAAGTAGAAACGGGATTTTCTTTTGTTGTTTCAATCTCTCAATGTTTCCTTTTCATTGGTGGGTGGGTCTCCAGTGCCTGCTTGCTTCTGATTGGCTAGTGTGTCCCATGTTTGAGCTGTTCAGAAATAAGACACTCCTGCTACCTTTGATGAGGGATACACAAATGTTTGACCATAAATTCTTCATGAGACTGATACTGTTGCACTCAGTACTAGTTAGAATACTACCAACAAAACAATGAAGTACTTTAACTGTACTTTTTTAGTAATCCTCTGTCAAAGTCCCCCTTTGAGTACAACAACAAGCTACCTCTCTTTGATGAGGGATAAACATATATATTGCCATAAGTTCCTCATAAGACTGATATAGTTGGAATCAGTTGGAATTAGACAACTATCACACATACTATGAAATACTTTTACTGTGTACTTTGTGAGTAATCCTCTGTCAAAGTCCCCTCCTGAATCAGAATACCTTTATTAGAGCCAAAGACAGCTTGAGTTCATGAATGCCTGTCTTTCTGCTATGTGTGAATGAGACTGATCCTGTTGGACTGGTTAGACTACTACCAAAATAACTATGATGTACTTTTACTGTGTACTGGTTGAGTAATCCTCTGTCAGTCCCCAGCTAATTCTCCCATCTTTGATGCCATAAGTTCTTCATGAGACTGACACTGTTGGCTAGTAAGACTACTCCAACGAGTACTATGAAGTACTTTTACTGTGTACTTTGTGAGTAAACCTCTGTCAAAGTCCCCTCCTGAGTACAAGAATGCATGTTTTCGTAATATTCTCTTCATGAGACGGATATTGTTGGACGTTTTAAGAGAATAAGGTAGACACATGATATCAACACAAATCAACAAATATTCTGCTATGTTTGAACCTCAGGGCAGGGATATTTAAATATGAATTATTCAACATGACTTTGGTGGGCTTTGTTGAGATAAGATGAGGTCAAAGTGAAGTATGAAAGTACCAAAATATGGTCATCCTGAAATAATGCATTAACAAGATTGGTAATGACCTCATGGGATGCTTTCCCGTGTTGACTAAACGAGCAAAACATTCCGGTTTTAACATATATTCCACCTTTTCATTTTATACACAAATCTCGCTTTCTCACAATGTCCTCAGTATTTATTGCTTTTATTAATGAATACACATGTATTACATTTTGCAAACATGAAAAAATCCATCAGTTTTACACATTTTTAAACACCTTAATTCCTGAATGACAACTTCTCTGTTTTCTGTTCATAATGCCCTCTTTTGAATTCATGTAATGAACACTGTGCCTGTGGCGACTGCGACTGCGAGGCAGTACGGTCATCTTTCAACCAGAAGGTTATGGGTTCGATCCCAGCCCGTGCAGCCAACATGTCGATGTATCCTTGGGCAAGATACTTAATCCTGAGTTGCTCCCGATGGCATGGCCAACGGTGTGTGAATGTTAGTTCCTAGAGTAAGGTACACTGCTCTGTATGAATGGGTGTGAATGACATGTAGTATGTGAAGCGCTTTGAGGGGTCGTAAAGACTGGATAAAGCACTATATAAGTACAGTCCATTTCATGATGTATGGAAATAATTGTTTAATAAAGTTGAAAAAAAACACCAACTTTACTCAACTCTTCTTCAGACTGTGTTTCATCAGAACATGCATCACATACAGCAAACAAAAAATACAATGTTTTTGCTTTACGAACATGTGCGGGTCCTATTCAAGCGTTTTTGTCTCATGTATTGGAGCGATTTTGCAAAAACGTTGAGTTCATTCTTCCATCCGTTGATATGAGGTTTAACTTTCAAATATTAACATTTATGAATAAAACGTCTACTCAACAAAATCAAGTTGTTTAACAGAAAGTCCACGTTGTTATCCTTCTGTCATCCTAGGGCGGGTGGTGGCTCAGTCTATAGGGACTTGGCCTGGGAACCGGTTCGAGTCTCGGAACGACCAAGTGACTACCGAGGTGCCCCTGAGCAAGACGCTGTCCCTACACTGCTCCCCGAGCGCCGACCTAATGGCTGCTCACTGCTCCTAACACTAGGATGGGTCAAATGCAGAGATCGTCCGGCAGTGGCTCAGTCAGTAGGGGCTTGGACTGTGAGCTGTAGGGTCGCTGGTTCAAGTCCCCGACCAGACCTAAATATTGGGTGTGAACTGCTACTTGGAGAGGTCCTAGTTTATCTCCTGCCCTGCCGTGGTCTCCCCCCCCCCCCCCCCCCCACTGCTCCCCGGGCGCTGTACAATAGCTGCCCACTGCTCCTAGTACTAGGATGGGTTAAAAGCAGAGAACAAATGTCACTGTGTGTGCTGTGTGCTCTGTGTGACCATTCTATCTATCTATCTTCATAAGTACTGTGGCTTTAATCGACATCACAGTTATAGGCTGTATTAATATACCTTTACATTGAAGCCAGCTCTGAAACATGAGCCAACATATATTAGAGACTGTATATGTTCTACAGTCTCAATATCTTTCTTGCAGAATCCACATGAATTGTTATCCAAATTAAATCTTACATGTAAGAAGTGGTTGGATGGATAAATATCAAATATTAGCGGCTAAAGGCATACATTCAACAACATCACTTAAAATACATTAAAAGTTAGGGAAAAGAAGGTGGATGAACTCAAGATTATAGCAGGCTTAACCAAGCTAAACACAAAACTGGCAATGAATAAACCATAAGTAAGTATATGACAGTGTTAGATGGTTCCACAATGAAAATGATCTATTTCACAGACTCAAATTAAGTACCATATATCTTCAGAATATATACTGCCATACTTCAGAAGGACCGAATCACTCGAGTATGAATGAAGACTCAGGTGTTGGCACTGTTTGTAAAATAAAAAGTCAAAATGGAAAAAGAACATTTCAAAAAGAACATCTCATGTAAGTAAGGAAATCAAATTATCAAAA